TATTTTATTCGCTACGTTGTAATATCTTCCGAACTTATGTTAAAGATCTCGTATAAAGAAAGAAATACATGCACGAATCGGTAGCTATCGGTTTAAATACAGTCAAAGTTCAAATTAATTGGTCCGTCCAATTGAATTTGGTCATTTTAAAAAAGAAAGGCGATAGAATGGCGGAAACTGGGTTCGAAATGAGGCGATTTGCCCCTTTTGAACAGTGAAACCTTAGATTTGCAATCGACGATAGTGCGAGGATCCAAAGCCTGTCGTCGCTCATTAAGCCGGCTTATTGGCTTCAGAATCGGAAGAAAGAGAGGTGGGCAACTCGAAGAAGGGTGTTTAGTGAAACTAAGACTGTCAAGATGTTTCGACCGAAGAAGAAGAAGGCGCACAGTCTCATGGAAGAGCTCAAAGAACTCGATCTCATTGAGGATGGCGCACCGGTAGACATCCCAGATCTGGAGAATGAAGATCTAATTGAAAAAAGCAACATGAGCGTGGTGGTGAGATGCCTCAATCCGACGGTTCACAAGGTAGGCAATCTGGTTAAGGCGCTTCCACCCATCTAGGGACTGGAAGATAGGGTTAGAGGTCGTGGGGTGGATGCGAACAGGGTTCAGTTCATCTTTGATAATGAGACAGATCTCAACCATGTCCTCACTCGAGGCCCGTGGTTTGTCAATGGATGGATTGTTGCTCTGGACCAGTGGACGCCGCATCCTGGACCCAACTTCTTAAACCGTATTGGATTCTGGATCAGACTGCGAGGAATTCCGATACATCTTCTCAAGGAGCAGACGGTGGACAACATAGTTAGGCCGCTAGGAAAGGTTGAGAATCACGCGAAGTAGTCTGACTCTCTAGAATATGTAAGAGCGAAAAGGTGTGGGTTAAGGCGGATGAACCCCTGGAGTTCAGAAAGGTGGCGAACTTCAGAACAGGCGAAGTAGCACATGTCGAGCTAGACTATGAAAAAACTACTGAAGTTCTGCTATTGCTGCAAGAGATTGACACATGACCAAACAGCCTGCCCTACACAGATTCAGGAGGAAGGCCCAAAGAGAGGGAAAGGGAGACATAATACCCAAACAAGAACGTCTAAAGGAACTAAAGAGGACTCGGAGAATCAGCAGGGTACAAGTGCAAGAAAACACATCCCTGTAAAGGAAAGAGTGATTTCCCTTCTCATTCTGAGCCTGGAGGTGGAAAGAACAGTCTAAGCAGAAGCAATGTCAAGGATAGGCAGCAATGGGCTAGCTCTGACCCCAGATGGAAAGTAGGGCAAAACCAGCACGTGTGGAAAGCCAAAGAGAAGGCTGGAGAGGAGAGACCTAGAATAGGAAGCTCTCGAAGCTCTGGGGAAACAGTTTCTCACCTGTAAAGAAAAGAAGGTTAAGTGGGAGTGACTAGAGGCAAAAGAAGAAAGCTAAGATTGGGCAGGGGGATGGATCAGAAACCTCATCACCAGCCCAAGTTCAGTCCGGTCACATTCAATCAGGGGAGAGCTCAAAATCCCCTAACAGTCAGAATCTGTTTGCTCAGAGAGATGCATTAGGTTCTGATCATTCTGTCTCAATGACAGCTCTGGCTCACAGAGAAATTACAGAAGAAGGGTTGATGGT